AATGGACAAAGTTAAATTTTCCATTGACACCACCCCTGAACAGCTTGTGGGATTGGTCTTCCCAGGTGGCACCAGCCCAACCCTAATCTTTTTTGACAGAGAGCTAACGCCGGAAGGCTCAACACATAACAAACCCCTGTACATATATGTCGAGTGCAGAGAAAAATAGGCACCGGTGGTGTTGATAGACACTAGTTCAACTATCAATGTCTGTCTGTCTGTCTCACACAGCTTATGCCATTGGCCTAAAACTAGTAGATTTCGTACGTACAGCCCAAGTGATTCGAGCATATGATAACACGAGCAGAGAAGTGATGAGCACAGTACAAATCCGAGTTCAGGTTGGCCCAACTCAACAGGACGTCGAGTTTCATGTCCTAGACATCCCGGCCACCTTCAACTTACAGCTAGAAAGACCCTGGCTGCACCTTGTGAAAGTAGTCTCTTCTACCCTCCACCAATTGCTGAAATACCCTCACAGGAAGGGGGTAGCAATTGTCTTCGAGAACTCATCCATCCATCCGCCACCAGAGGTAACCATACCAGTGCTGGAAATCGACCATGGCGAGAAAGATGTATTCCTCTTAGGGTTTAGTCTAGCTGAGGCTCGGGTAGTGCAAACCATCTTGGCAGCAGATGAGGGTATGTATGTTAGCGCCCAGTCTGTTTATCTCATGAACAAACTACAACATATGCTAGGAATGGGACTTAGAAGAAGTGGCCAGAAGGGCGTCACAACATTGGCCGATGTGATACATAATCTGCATGCCTTTGGTCTTGGCTATGTGCCTACCAAAGAGGATTGGGTCAGGAAAAGGGAAGAGATGACAAGCAGAGCTAGAGCCAAACAGGCCGGGAAACGCTATGAGCTCATTCACAGACTGATCCGCGGAACACTAAATGGTCACTTTGTTCAAGAGGGAGAGGATTTCCCCTTTTGCAGTTTTCTCGAGCCCTGGATAAATTCTGCAAAGCAGCATGTCCTTGGCTCCGGAATCTTCTTCGACCTGCAGTTGCAAGAGAGTGATGCCAAGGAAAAGGTTGAACCGAGTGCTAAAGCTGAACATGGCATAGAAAGTGACTTTGACAACAGCGAGCTTGGAGTAGAGGCAGCACTGGCATGTCTCTTTTCAGATCCTCCAGTCGACTCAAAAAGCTTGGGGGATGACCTTACCATCTCCATGATTGGGGAAAAACCGGGTATGAACCCAACCAGTGGCATTTTGGAAGCATCAGGGGCACTATCTCTTACTTGGCAGCTAGAGAAAAGCTACCTTTCCAATTATGAATCGGATGATTAGCTAGAATCCGATTCCACAGAGTCTGTGGGGTCGGGATCAAATTCAAGTCAGTTTGAGGGGTCTAAGTCTGGCATTCTCGGGGGTGGTATCCCGGATGCCAAGGTCCTGTCTAAGTCTTTCTTTTCTTTTGCTTTTAAGTCTGTTGTAACCGAAAAGGTGGACCTGTTGAATGAGAACTTCACAGATTTTGAGTACTTCTCCGTGTCACTTATTTATTGCATTGACCAAGATTTTCAAACTTTTAATGAAAACGAAAATGAAGAAATCCCTCTAGTTTTGAAAAACTTAATTAATCAAGAGGAGGAGAGGTATATTAAACCCTATATTGATAAAATCATTGCAATTAATGTGGCTACTAAGAAGGATCTACGCATGGTCCAGATCGGGTCGTTGTCTTTGGAGGAAGGCAAACACTTAGTCGCTTTATTAAAAGATTTCAAAGATGTTTTCGCGTGGTCCTACGACGACATGCTTGGAATCGATCCTGAGATCGTACAGCACCAGATCCCTCTTAACCCTGATGTCCGACCAGTCAAGCAAAAGTTGCATAGAATTCGCCCAGATTAGGCATTAAAGATCAAAGAAGAGGTCACCAAACAGATCAAGGCAGGTTTCTTGTTAGTATCCGAGTATCCAACCTAGTTGCCTAACATCGTCCCAGTGCCGAAAAAGGATGGCAGAATTCGGGTTTGTGTAGACTTTCGGGACTTAAACAAAGCCAATCCGAATGATGACTTTCCTCTACCACCTATTGATGAGTTGGTAGACTTCACCGCAGGCCATGCATTGCTTTCCTTCATGGATTGGTTTTCCAGGTATAATCAAATTCTGATGGCTCCCGAAGATAGAGAGAAAACTGCATTTACTACGCCGTGGAGAACGTATTGCTACCGAGTCATGCCATTTGGCTTGAAAAATGCTGGGCTACTTATTAGAGGGCTGTAACCACCATTCTGAATGATATGATCCACAAAGAGGTCGAAGTATACGTGGACGACATGATAGTCAAGTCCAAAGACCGAGAGGGCCACTACATCGCTCTAGAAAAATTCTTTCAATGGATCAGGGAATACAGATTGAGGTTAAACCCACAGAAATGCACATTCTACTTTCGGTGTAACAGTAGGGAAAATACTAGGCTTTTTGATCACATAGAGAGGCATCAAGGTAGATCCTTCCAAAATCAAGGCCATCCTAGAAATGCCACCACCAAGGACTGAACAAAGGTTACTTGAGCAAAGCAGTCCATTTTTGACAATTTGATTCAAATCGATTTTTCAAAAGATTCGCCAAATTTGGATTCTTTGGTGTTTATCTATTTCACATTGCACTTATGGAATCAGATTCAGAACCGCGGGAGTTTGACACTGTAGAGCTTATTTCGACTTCTGAAAGAGGGTGCGAAAAAGTTAAGCTACACCATGTTGTCGACTAAGTGCATCTACGACCACATTTCCTTTTCCCGGGTGGTAAAGGATCTCAAAATCATAACTGCTGATGAATTCAACCCACCTCTGTTGCCTCATGTTCAACTCTTTTTGAGAAAAAAAGATATTTGAGGCTCTTGTGATCTGTGTACAACTCAAAGCTCTCCCCAAACAAGTAGTGTCGCCATACTTTCAACGCAAAAACAATTGCTGTAAGCTCTAAGTCATGAGTAGGATATCGTCTCTCATAAGGTTTTAACTATTGTAAGGTATAAGATACAACCTTCTGATGCTGGATCAACACACATCCCAAACCAGTTCCACTCGAATTAGTAAACACTACTAACTTTTCCCCCTACACTGGTATAGTTAACACCAGAGCAGTAGTCAAATGCTACTTTAACTCCTGGAAGACTCTCTCATAATCATCTGTCCATAAGAACTTCACATTCTTCGGGTCAATTTGGTCATGGGTGCTGCAATAGTGGAAAACTTCTCTATGAATCTCTTGTAATAACCGGCTAGTCCTAAAAAACTCTTCACCTCTGAAAGGTTTGTGGGCTGCTTCTATTCTTTGACTGTAACAACTTTCTCAGAATGTACGGCTATCCCCTAATTGGACACAACATGTCCCAAAAATTGAACCTTTTTCTCCCAAAAGTGACACTTACTAAACTTTACGTATAACTGTTGCTCCCTCAAAGTTTGTAACACGATTTTCAAGTGTTCTCTGTGCTCTTCCTTATTCTTAGAATACATCAGGATATCATTTATGAAGATAATCACAAACTTATCTAGATACGGTTGAAAAATTTTGTTCATCAAGTCCATAAAATAAGCAGGAGCATTTGTCAAACCAAAAGGCATTACAAGAAATTCATACAACCCATACCGAGTCCGAAAAGCAATAAGCGGTGTACTTTCCTTTAACACACCTATCTGATGGTAACTCATTCTGAGATCAAACTGAGAGAACACGGCTGCCCCCTTTAACTGATCAAACAAGTCATCAATTCTAGGTAGCGGATACTTGTTCTTGATAGTCACCTTGGTCAACTCTCTATAATCTATGCACATGCGGAGAGTGCCACCTTTCTTGGAGACAAAGATCACGGGTGCTCCCCACGGGGAGTTACTTGAACGTATGAACCCTTTCTGAAGCATTTCTTTCAGCTGCTTCCTCATTTTCATAAGCTCTTTAGGCATCATTTTGTATGCCGTCTTAGAAATCGGTGCAGTTCCCGGTACTAAGTCAATGCGAAATTCTACTACCCATCGAGGTGGAGGTCCAAGTATCTCTTGAAATACATCCTCAAACTTACGTACCACATCTACCTCACTAATATCCTGCTTAGGGATTTCTACCGAGCAACTCATCATCACCGACTCTCCTCCATCGCTATAAGTGTGGGTAAGCCGTGGCATACCGAGAATATCTATATTCACAATCTTTCCAGCACAATCTAGAGTCACAAAGTGTTTTCGCAGCCAATTCATACCCAAAATAATTACAAACCCCTCAAACCCTAACACAATTAGGTCCACATACAAGACTCTACCTGCAAAGTCAATCTCAAAATCTTTACACATCTCATAAAGAGTAACTGCCCCTCCTAAAGAGGTCTCAACGCAAATAGGTCTGGATAATGAGGTAGTTACAAGGTGTTCTCTTTCTACAAAGTGTGTAGATATGAAATAATAAGAGGCACCAATATCAAAAAGTACTCTAATGGGTTCTTAAAAAATATTAAAGGTACCTTACACTTTGTTATTTTCTTGCACCACTGTAAATGCCCTGGCTGGAGCTACCTGACCCTGTCACGCCTGTTGTTTCTGAGGGCAATCCTTGACAACATGCCCCAACTGCTGACACCTAAAATACTTCTTATTGATCAGTTGAGTTGCTATTGCTCTGACAGATGGGGGTCCCTCCAACTAAGGTACGAGAGGACAATAACCCATCTGTGGTATCTGTTGCCATTGTCCTTGATAACCCTATGGACGCGGACCACCTTGTCTCTGATAATAGTGCCCCTGGGGCTGGAAATTGCCTTGAGGCCTGAAATTACCCTGAGGTCTGAAATTTCCTTGACTACCTTGTTGTTGTGGCCTCTGAAACTACTAACCCCTGTACCTTTGATCGTAGGGTCGGTATCTGTTCCTATCACACTGTTGGAAGTGACTCCCTCTGGAAGTCTCTCAGACCCTGGCCTTCCCTTTTTTAAATTGTTTCTCCTTTTTCTCATACTTTAATGATAAGTCAAGAACTCTGTTAAAGCGGTTCAGCATCAAAGGGAATAAGGGACTTAGACAGGTAATGATTTAATCCCTTAATAAACTTCTCATTCTTCTTCTCCTGCGTGTCAACCAAGTAAGGGGCAAAACGAGACAACTCATTAAACTTAGTGACATACTCGATCACTGTTCGACCCTCTTGAGTCAGCTTCAAAAATTCATCACTCAGCTGAGACCGAATGGTAGCTAGAACAAACTTCCGGTCAAAACGAGTCTTAAAATTTAACCAAGCCAAAGTCATCAAATCTAGACCTTCCTTCCACGAGTTCCACCAAAATAGGGCTGCACTCTCTAGCTGATGTGTAGCTAACTCTTGTTTTTGGACCTTGGTGAACTGCATACGACCAAACACCATCTCACATTTCTGGACCCAAGTGTCAGCTGTAGGGGGTCCTCTATCTCCAGAGAATTTCTAACTTGCCAAAGAACCAAAGTCATTGTTTCTCTTCGCAAAGGGATCTCCCTAGTGGTTTTGATTATTGTTTTGCACAACTTGAAATAACTGAGCGATCATCTCCCCCACATTAACCTGCATAGTATTGGTTGGTCCAGTAATAGCCGCCGTTGCCGCCGTCGCTGCCGTTGCCGCTGCTGCGTTAGCAGTTGTTTCTTCTCCTGTGCCACTATTCTCAGCATTTCTCAAATTATACATTCCAGCCATCACCTTCAAGTTAAACACACAAAAAGAATTTGTTCATAAATACTTAGAATAAATTTAACCACTAAACTAAACCAACTAACCCATGTTTCTACAATTCGAGGATCACCTAAACTCTCACAAGTTTAGGGTAACTTAGAACTCTGATACCAAACTGTCACGCCCCAAATTTTAGACAATTAAATATTAAATTAGGACTAAACCCTAATCAATATTCCATCATCCAAATCCTACGGGTGAAACAAAAATCAAAATGTTCTCATCTTCATATGGTTTAAGTAAATTTCAATGCTCAAAAAACATTACAAGGGGTAAAAAAAATTAACAAAACGCCAACCAAACCATCCATCATAAATTCATGACTATCCAACACCTCCAACATTAAAGTAGTAACAAATAGTCAAAACAATTTAAATAATATAAAATTAGAAAATAACCCACAATGCCAAATTATCAAAATACTAAGGTCATAAAAATAAATAAATAAACTAATATCAACCCTAAACCCCAGAAAACAAAAGAAGTCTGAGAAACATGTCCTACAACCATAGTTATTCCTCGTCATCACTGTAGCCCCAACTAATCCTGCAAAGGAAACTCGGTTGCGCTCAAACAGAACGCACCCGAGTTGCCAAGAGACAAAACGGGTCAGTATACAAGTATACTGGTATGTGTACAAGATTTGACACCCACGTGTCCACTAGACACAAACAAAAGTACATTTCATTCTTGTTACGGGACAAGACAAGTAGTTCCACCCACACCGAGACGAAGGGGTAGTTTCCCAAGATACGGTGACATTTAGTTTCTTGCCCGTACATGCTAAATATAAAATTGAGTATACAAAAAACTAAATAAAAATAATATGGTGGATCAGTCCTGCATAAAAATTTAGTAAGACCCACCATTCTACACAAAAAATAAAAATAAAAATAAAGTTAGTGTAATTAAATCATAAGTAAATTACTAAAGAAATATAAAAAAAATACACCGTTTCATACTTAAATCATTCGAATTAACCAATACCCAAAGAACAAAAGTTGTATAGAATCAAATCTCCTAAAAGGCAACGTAAACAAATTTAGTAGAAACTAAACAGGTTGAGAGAAAAACTTGATAGAAGAACCTAGATGGAATTCGACCAAAAACATCTGAAGCTGAAAACAAAAAGAAACTACCCTCAAATGATTTTTTTTAGAAACGTTCAAAACACTAAAAGTGTTTAGAATAATGTTTATTTCAGTTTACACGAAATCAATAAAAATGAGCTCGTTTCGTAGATTAAGACATCATGCAAAATCTGCATTCCTAAAATGAATAAAAACTATTGTAACCAAGATCATCCAATTACAAGTTCTAATCGATCTTTTTAGTGAAAAGTTAAAATACAAAAATTGTCTAGAATTATGTATATATGCCTCTGCCCAAATTTCGTAATTTATTAAGGTTGTTTACTAGTTTTCGAGATGTACAAATCAAAACAATTCAAACTATACCAATAAGTTCATATTTAATTCTTTGTACCTTAACTCCACCATTTCAGCCCTTCACTTCTGGCCTACACGTATACCAAATGTGCCTCCCGTATACCTACCATCGCTTCGAAGCCAAACTTGCACGGGAATATCGTCCCGAGTTTGACCCACATTCCCCAGACAGTTAGTATATACATACACGTATAAATCAAAGCATTCGTCTACTCTTAAGAACGAGACAACAATATATATATATACACACAATCCCTCATCTAGTAATGAGAACAAACATAACAATGCCTAGCCTAAGGCATTCAAATAAACCTCATAATCCTCACTTTTTTTTATACACTTTTTTCTCACCAGCACTCAAATAAAACAACAATCCATGGAGTTATAGTAAAGTATTTGGAATTTATCTGTGGGTTCCAAGTTTATTTTAATTTCATATATCCATGAGTGTGATTAAATTCATAAAATAAATATATATAAAAACTCTAAATATTGCATACACAACTAGCCAAAATAATTGAAATCAATCCATCATCTTCATGCAAATGCAATATCAAACCAACATCAAATAAATAAAAATAAATAAATAACAACAACAAAATAAACATAAATTAAGGGAAGTGGGTTTTGCACTCACAATATTTTTTTGAAGATTAAAGAATCACTTAAAGAATTAATGAAGTCACCAAAATAAAACTCTAACCCTTTTTTTTTTTTTTAATCTCTCTCTTTCTCGGCTACTGCTAACTTCAATATTCTTCCCCACACACACACTCTTGCAATTAAACCTAGGTCTAGTATATTATACCTAATTTACTATTATATTTATATTTTACAAATACAACATAAATACAACTTATATAAATATACTATATAAGGTCAATATATAATACTTTTATATATATATATATATATATATTCAGATTAATTATATATAATTAAATATCACATTAAATTCTCATGTATCCACACAATTAATAAAGCCAAAATAATAGAGTAATAATAACAATAATAAGTAATGACTTAAGAAAAATTAGGGTCGCTACAGTTGTAACATGCCCGGGGGTACTTGGGCACGTTAAACAGTTCGGACCGCCGACCTCTTTGATCTAGTCTCACGAGTGTAATGTAAAGCATAGATGAGAGTCTAGATTTGACAACTTTTAGACAAAAATTGTTTTATTACAAAATCGTTGCCAAAATATAGACTGTATCACCAGATCTTAGAGTCGCCACCTAATGTTTTAGGAAAAGTAGAAAACCTGTGACTCGTACCAAAGTCACTGTTCGTTATAACCAAAGATTCTTCGCTCGGAACCTTAGATATGAGAGGGGAAGGTCATTAATTGAGCACCCCCGCTCACCTGATCAAAGATCGGCCTTTACTAAACCATGATATGATTTTTATTAACTTTATATGTTCATATTCCAGTTATTAAATAAATCTTACAATATACTATGTGAAGCATACAAGTATAAACTATGTCATTCATTTTAGAACAATTTGATTTCATGTGTTTTGAAAGAGTTTTGAGATGTACAACCCAAATAAATTGAGTTTACAAACAATAAAAATCAACATCATTCCAAATTAGGCGACACAATCTCCATTCATCGGCATTCATACAGTTATATCAAGTAAGCAAGTAGATACATGGTAGGATGCTTAAACATAGTAAGAAAAACACACAAAAGTGCGATGCTAAAGCATAAAAACTTACATATTTACCGATATCCCGCAAATAGCAACAAAACAAAGTTAGCAAAATATGCATGATCTTATATACAAGATCCTGATGCAATTCACTCATGAGATGCAACCAAAGATTCGGCTTCTAATATATGACATGTGAATCATCTCAAGAATATGAGATAACGCACATAATTACATAGGAATTGATTAAATCTATATATGCAAATTTAGCCGAATCAAAATGTATGAAACATGGATGCAAAGTATGGATATGATGAAAAATAAAATAAAACATGATGTATATTCACAAATAAGGAAAGAAAATAAAAGAACGGGATAAAAAGAAGTGGGGCGGGAAATTATTATAACACTTTGAATAAATAATTACAAACTGAATAAAAGATGAGGGGGGAGAGAAAATATTAAAACATAAATAAACTTCACAAATCTCTCAAATAAAAAAACAAAATAAAAGCTTCATGTGTCTTGAGGATTGCTGGAAACTAATATGCTTAACGCCGAAAGGCTACTCTATTTTGTCCAAATGAAACTAACCGGCCGGCCATGCAAGTCGACCGACCAACTAGGCCTAACAAAACCCGTCTTGTTGCAAAATAGAGAAAATGAATAAACAAAGAATATGTAGGTGACTCAACCAACCACTTCCGGTTATATTACAACACAACTAATATGAAATTAAAGCAAGAAAACAAATATAAGATAGACAATGCAAGAAAATGAAAGAAATTAAAAATTCACCTTCCAAAGAAAGAACGAACTTTTTGATTTTCAAACTTCTTTTTGATCACTCTCAAGGTTGTGAATTATTTTCTCAATCCTCCATTCAAAAATTTAGAATTTTAGTTAGAATGACAATTTTGGGTTGTTTAACAATGTATGTAGGGGAAGATGGTAAAGACACAGATTTCACAATTCACTCTAGTTTTCTCACTTTCGACACAAGCTAAACACTCATTGATTAAAAATACACAAGTTAACTATAAAGGAATTTTGGGGATCAACAACAGTACATAAGAATGATATAACAATGCAATGGAATTATTGGAATCAGATAACAGTGTATAAGGATGATATAACATTGAATGAAATTCACAGCTCAACTTCCCAACTTTGACACTTTCTTCTTCTTCTCTATCTCCAGCCTTCTCTATTCAATCTATCCTCATTATCCTCTCAACAATCTGATGTATATATATAGGCAATGTAAGTGAAGAAATTGTGAAAGACAAGAATGGAGCATTAATGAAGATAATGGAGCACTAATGAAACACTAATTAAGCTAATGGAAGACAAAAGTAGAGCATTACCTTCAATGGATTAAGCACTATGCAATAGAGGATGAGTATACACGCATTTGGTGCATGAATATATCAGAAAATGGGATAATGGAATCCCCACACGAAATGAACAAAAAAACTGGGCTGCACTGTTTTGGGGCAGACGACCAGGCGGTTGACCGGCCAGAGGCGAAAAAATTTGTTTTACTTCGTTCAGCCCAGTTTTACTCCGATTCGGCCCAGTTTCGCTCTGGGTGTCTAACAAGACCTAAACACTTAACCAAAGTGGGCTTAAGGTAGAGAGTAAAGCTCAAATTCCATCTTTTTTTATTGAGAATTTTGTGAGAAACACATTTTGATTGTCATCATCGAGTAATCAAAAGAAAGTGTCCAAGTCTTAGGGCCGATCAAAATAGGATGTCTACAATGGTGAACCAGAACCCACAAGCTAAAATGAAGCTTGCTTGCTTTGAGATGGAGAAAGGCTCACAATTTGTGGAGATGTAGAACTAAGTAATGATTTTGGTT